CACGACCTATGACACAGTTTTGCAGTGCCAGCTGCTGAGTCCAGTTGTGCAGAGCTGATTGTTGGGTCTAGTTGCACGGTGGGAAACCTTTTCCTGGTATCTTCTTTCCCACACTATTTCCTCTTTCTCCCTCCTCCCGGCAATCTTTCCCTGCTTCCTTCTCTCCTTTCCATCTCCCAACCAACCAGCTTTTTATCTGCCCCCCCCCAGCTATATTTATTATTTACTTACTTCTTTTATAACCTGCCCTTTTCCACAATGGGGACCCAAAGCAACTTGCAGAACTTTCCTCTCCTCCATCTTATTCTCACAACAATTTTGTGAGGCAGCTTAGTCTGAGAATGTGTGACTATTTCAGGGTTGGCCAGTGGTCATTCGAACCTGGGACTCACAAATCCTAGTTTGAAAGTCTAACCACTTCACCAAGGAGGTCTGTCAGCTGCAGGCACCACCATAGCTGCCTCCTCTGAGAGGCTCGGGGCAGGCACATAATGTCTGGGGGGCAGGGGCAGAAGGAGATGCCTGAGGGAGAAGGGGTTGAAATGGCAGGACCTTCGGGTGTACCTAACTCTCTTACATAGGGTTGCTAACCTCCAGGTGATAGCTGGATATTTCCTAGGATTACAACTGATCTCCAGGCAGCAGAGATCAGTTCACCTGGAAAAAATGGCTGTGTTGGAAGGTAGATTCTATGGTATTATACCCTATTGAAGTCCCTCCCCCTCCCCAAACCCCAGCCTCCTCTAGGGTTCTCAAATCCCCCCGGGGGGCGGAATTCCCCCCGGTTTCGAGCCCTGATTCCCGCTCCTGCGGAATCGGGCCCCGGGGGAAACCCCACCTCCACGCGTGCGTCACCCAGAAGTGACGTCGCACGCTGGGGGCGGGGCCACGCCATTTGAGGGGAAAACTCTTTGTTTTCCCCATGCTATTACCTTTGATTCTTCAATTCTCTTTTCAAACCTCTCTTCCTCACCTTTACCTCTCATAGTGACTTTCTTCCCCCACCTCCTTGAAAAACACTATCTACCGGGACCAGCCATTCAGGCTGTTCCAGGAACAATTTCCTCAGTGTCAGCAGAGGGCTCTGCAGACGGCTTTCCGTCCAAGGGAAGATGGATGCTTCGCTCGCAGCAGTCACTGCTGAGCTCAACCAAGTTGGAGCTGGCATGTCTTTTCATCTTGACTGTGACTCCGCATCTGCCTCAACTCTCCAGGAAAAGTGCGTGAAAAGGCCCACCCTGATAAAACCGCACTAGACCCAATGGCCTTCTCCTGTCCTTCAACTTCAAGCTGCGGCCATGTTAACTCACCAATGGCAGTTAAAAACCAAGGTTCCCAACCTTCCAGTTGCAATTACGAGTCTGTAAATGCCAACTTCCCAGCTGGAGATTGAGATGAAGATGTTTCCTTATTGGAACAGACCTTCCCAGCTCAACCAGGCATTTCTCATCAGAGCGGTAATGTAGGTGAATCTGGCTCTACAGCCATTTCTACTGAATGGTTAAATGTATTACAACAAGCATTAAGGGAAAATATAATTAATACCTGCCACTCTGAACTCCTCCTCTTCTCCCCCTCCCACACCTAGATGTTGGCCCAAAAAAGCAGCTCCAAAACAGTCCCTCACCAGAAAACAGGGCAAAGAAACCCCTTGGGAGGGTGAGCAGTTCTTCAGCAGAGAAAGGGAGGACAAGGAGGAGGGGATTTTTTTTTTGTCAGAGGAAGAAATAGAAGAGATTAAGGTACCAGAGCAGTCTGACCACCTGTTTAAGCCTGAGGATTGTCAGTACTTACTCAATAAAGCAGTTTCAGCCCGAAAACTCCCAAGAGCCACCAGCTGGAAAGGACTCCCCCTCTGCCAAGTCAGGAACCAAGGTCAGACCCGAAGGGATGCCCCTATGGCCACCTTACAGTCCTGCAGCCTCCCCTCTGAAGAAAGACAGGGTTTGGTCAGAGACACCCTTGACAAGAGAGCAGAAATGGCTCTCAAGAAGGCACATGAAGCCATGGCTATGGCAATAAAAGATTTGGCCATGGCATCCATTGCCTCCAGAGCAGCTATAGTCTGGATGCGAAAAATAATTCAACTAATTCCTGGGGACAATTGTAGACTTTTAGAAGGGACCAGTAGAGTTCTGAAGGCCAGTGCCTTCACAGCAGACACCACCTTGGACACCTTGACTTTTTTCTCCAGGACAATGGCCTCCGCAACAGCTGCCAGGAGAGTACTCTAGCTTTGAGAATGGCAAGCAGATATTCACTCAAAGAATATTGTCTCAGCCTACCCCTTTCAAGGGGATAGACTATTCAGCCACACACCAGTTAAAATTTTGGTTGAAACTCGGGACAAGAAGTAAGCAATGCCCAAAACTCTCCAATGCTTCACCAGGAGACCTTCCACTGCACATTCCTTTCACGCCCAAACGCATTACCAAACTTCAAGTAGGAATATAAGAGACCATCGTGGGGTTCCTCCAGGCAACCATTCAGGAGGGGATCCTTTAGCTTCAAGCCTAACAGACAGTCAGCAAACAGGACAGATCAGATTGAGACAACAAGTCTCCAAAGCCATGACTTGCACACCATTCTGGTGGGGGGGAAGGATACTTCATTTTCAAGATAACTGGAGCAAATTACAAGCAGACTCCTGGGCAATAGAAGTAGTTTAACAAGGCTGTTCCATAGAATTTGCCAGAACAATTTATTGCAAATCCTCTACACAAAACCCAGCTCAAATGCCACATAACTTGCAAGGCCATCCAACAGCTCCTGGAAATACAAGCAGTGAAACTAGTCCCTGAGGCAGAGAAGGGACAGGAAGCACATTTCATTTTTTCACAGTGTCCAAGAAAAACTGGGACTGGAGGGTGATATTAGACCTCATGTTCCTGAATAAGTTCATCAAACTAAGACATTTCCTCATGGAAACCCTGAGATCGGTCTCAGAAGCCCTGAAGCTGAGGGAATTTCTAATGTCAGTAGACCTCACGGAGGCCTACCTTCACATCCCCATACTCCCTGCACACAAGAGGTTCCTGAGATTTTGTGTGGACCATCTCCATCTCTAGTTTTGGCCCTCCCATCCAGACTCTCCACTGCCCTGAGTGTTTTCAAAGTTACTGATAAACCCGGTTGTTCACTTATGGGAAAGAAGTATCCACATTTACCCTTAATTTGATGACCTACTAATCAGGTCAAGCTCCAAGGCCAAGTCAATCCAGGACACCCAAACAACCATGCATTGTCTTCATGACCACCGTTTTCTTATCAACTTTCAAAAGAGCTCTCTACAACCATCTCAGAGACTAGAGTACTTAGGAGTGATTACAGACACCAGGTCCAATTGCCTAATTCTACCAACAGGGAAAGATCACAAGACCAAACAAATGTCAGAAACAATGATCAAAGCCAGGTCCTTCTCACTAATGACACTTGTAAAGTTGATGGGATTGTTAATTTCCAACACCAAAGTCATCCACACTCCAGGCCTCTCCAGACCCTTTCAGGTCCAGATAATGGAGAAGGAGGATATTGTCATACAAGTTTCAGCTCCAATCAAATCCAGCCTAGTATGGTAGACCAACATGACCAAACTCCATCGAGGAAAGAGGTATCACATTCCATTGGTGAGACAAATATTCACAGACACCAGTCTGTCTGGACGGGGAGCAACCCTGGATGTTGTTCCAGTCCAAGACAGGTGGTCCAAAAGCAAACCCTATCTCCCTGTCAACTTGGTGGAACTCCAAACGATTCATCTGGCACTACTTCACTTAAAAACTCAAATAATACAACAACAAATCTTGGTCTGGACGGACAATGTCTCAACCAAAACATACATCAACAAATAAGGGGGTTCCAGATTGTTTGGCCTGCTGGCGAGGCTGCTGCAGAAGGAGGGATTCCTCATCCAAAAGGGGTGAGTCAGTCTGAGACTAAGTACTTAGGGAAGACTAGGGCACTATAGTCAGATGCATTAGGATTTCTTGTTTTGTTGGTTTACCTACCTTTACTGGTGGCCCAAGTTTGACTTTCCTAGTTTTATTTTTTGATGGGTTATGCCTGCCACATATGGACAGACAGATGGACATCTGAATCCCTTTGTAGATTCATACTAACAGCCAACCAAGTGATTTGTTTTGTTACAATATTTGGGTTGGATCAGGGTCATATGGAGGGGCAAACAGAATCTTTGTCCGTGGGCCCATGGTGGCTCTCGGCAGTGCTGGATTTAAATGGTTTAGACTGGGGTAATCCTGTATGGAATTGCACAGCCAGTAAGCCTCTGGGTGAGTGGGGATTTGAACCTGTGTCTCCCAGTGCCTGATCTGACACTCTAACCACTAAACCACACTAAATTTATTTATTCTTGGGGATAAATATCATCAGTTATAACTGTTGTGAATGATCTCTAAACTTACTTTGCTTCACATTTAAAAATCTCTTCCCTTTAATACAAGCTTCTCAATTTCTTTTCTTTTCCTCTGCTATGTATATGTTCCATTTGTGTATTGGAATAATTAGCCTATAAGGAGTGGTAACTATCTCATTTGCATTCTGGTGAGCTGTTAATATGTGTTCAAGAGCTGTTGGTAAAAGGTTCTAGCATGGACTTCTTCATTCTTGTGTTCCCCTTAAGACATACCACTCTTTTATAGAGCCCTCACAGTTGGTGGTGGATTCTTTTTAGGCCATTGGTCTCTTCAGGACATATCCTTGGACCCTTACTTTTGCTTTCCTCTTGCTAACATCTCTTTACTGTCTGGAGAATATGCAATCAAAATTAAAGAAAATTCTCATCTCTCATGACCTGATGGAATGCGCTTTCAACTTTTAAAAATCAGACAGACAATAGTGCATAGTTCTTGCAAGCATGTTTGCCTATTTAATATTTGAGTAACAACACATAGAATGAAGTCACTCATCTTATAGCCCATCTATCTTCAAACAGATTTGAGCAAAAGCTTTAAGAATGTTCTTTGTATTTGCTTCTTTTTTAGAATTACAACAACAGCTGCCTGTATGATGGATCTACGAAGATACCCCCTAGATGAACAAAACTGCACCCTGGAAATTGAGAGCTGTAAGTGCTTTTTGTAAATCCTACTTTGCTATGTGCGCAAAATGATTCAAGCATTTAACTCTTTTCCACCTGCAACTAACCTAGTTGTTTCTCTGTGTGGTGACATGTAGATCTTTGTAAATACACAAAACAGATTTAGCTTTCCAGATGGATGAGTAATTTATGGCACAAGGATTTGAGGAACTTGTTTTTTGTGTTTGATGGACAACTTTAAGCTTTAAATGTCTCACTCAAATGCTTTTTGGAGTTCATGTGAGGAGCACAAGGATTACTATCTGTCCTTTATCCCTTTGTGCTGCTAAATAGGATTGCTGTTTGTTTCCGTTTTAAATGAAGAGTCTAGATTTGTCAGTGCAGTTTATGTTGTATGTTACACTGTAGCTGGGCTTCCTGTAGGATTGTGATGGCAGTAGAATATATGCTGATTTTAGTTATTACTTCCTACCTTTCTATATAGATTCAGAATATTTGATCTTTTGTGTCCATTTTCTATACCAGTATATGTATATTGAGCTGCAGTGGCTCAAGTGGTTAAGACGCTGAACTGCAGGCTGTGGAAGGTCGGTAGTTCACCAGTTCAAGACCCGAGTGCCACATGACGGAGTGAGCTCCCATCTCTAGTTCCAGCTCCTGCCAACCTAGCAGTTCGAAAGCAAGAAATTGCAAGTAGATAAATAGGTACCACTTCAGTGGGAAGGTAACAGCGTTCCGTCCGCCTTGGTGTTTAGTCATGCCGGCCACATGACCACGGAAATGTCTTCGGATAGTGCTGGCTCTTCGGCTTTGAAACGGAGATGAGCACCGCAACCCTCGAGTCGGATTTGACTGGCTTTCGAGCAAGGGAACCTTTACTTTACTTATATATATTTACTGTGCCAGGACATATTCTAGACCACTACATGTGACAGGATTGAGTGGAACAGAGTTTGTGGAGTAGATCATTACCCGCTTCCACTTCTTGTTGCCTCCCTGGCTTTCTAGGAACAAGCAATGTGATACTGTGTAGCTTTGCATATGTCCAGTGTAAGTACAGAAATGACACTGGGGAACTTCTGACATTCAGATTCTGTTTTGTAAGTGGCTTATGGGAATGTATCTCTTATGGGACATTGGTTTCCTGACCTTGCTAAGAGTTGCTCCAGATTTTTGTAAAAAATGTATTGTAAATTGCCCCTTCATCCACTGCCTGCTGCAGGAGCAGTTCTGCGGGTCCCCATGAGGCCAGGCGCCATCCCTACCATTGAGCTGTCCCCACCCAGAGCCAAAAGCAGCGGTTGAGGGATGGTGTTGGCTGCCCGGCCCCCTGGTTCGTTCTCTGGCACCGGCAGCTAAGTCCTGACCCAGCCAAACTTCCTAAACAGACTATAATCCTTTTGCGTCCCTGGGTAGCTCAAGCCAGTTAATATGGAATATTTTCCAAACATCTGACCCAGAAGTTATTGGGAATAAATATCATCAGATTTTGCATGAGCACATAGTGGCAAATTGAACTCCTCAACTGAATTTCCTCTGCCTTTCCCTCTCTTTTTGCAATTTTGTTGTTTGTTTTTAGAACAAGATGTTTCAGTGCTACCCTTTAACATTTAGTAAAAGGCAATTTTTTCATGTGTTTCAGGATTAAAATTTGGTAGTGAAAACAGGCATTTAGAGCAACCCTTGGTGAGTTGTAGTGTACATGAGGCCATGTGCATAGCTTATGGCTTTACTTGTAGACTCGTCATATTCCACAATAAGGATAGCATTGCTGAATTAAACTGAGAATCTATATCTGCATTTCTTCCTAATCATTCATAGTCTGAGAGATAAAACGGCTAACTTACTAAAAAAGATCACCTTGGGGACCCTCAACTGAGTGAAGGCAGCATAGAATTTTTAAAATTAAATAAATGATTAAATCCATTAAGGCACAGGAAAAATCGTTTAACACTAGTTATTGGTGAATACTCTTTGTCAGCATGTCATATTTATTCTTTGAGGGGCATTTTTTTTCCTTTCTGTGTATGCTTCTCGTTGAAGTAACATTTTAAAGACAGTAAGGGCTGGTACTTACTACAGCTTAATTAGTGTGGATGACAAATACCATTAGAGGGCAGCAATACCCATCAAAACCATTAGCCAGAAGAGATCAAGGAAAGGGCACCACATTTTGGGATTGGTTATGTGTCTATGCATATTCATAAATGAAATTCCCCAGTTCAGAATCCCTAAGCCCTTTACAAGCCAAGCTAAAATGCACACTGAAGTGAAGGCTTAACATGTAACAAAGTCAACATCATCCCTGTTGAGCCCTGTGTTACAGCCCAGAGAACAATCTGATGTAGGGTTGGGGGAGAAGCAAGCTTTGGTTGTGAAATCTGGCCTAGTAGGGTTTTGTCATCATCCAGACTTACTGCTTCTTGTGGTCACTAAGCTTTTCAGTCTCATTTATTTAATTTATAATTTTCCACAATTCAAAAACAGTGGCTTGCAGCATACATCTTGTTTTTAGTGATAAATACATAAAACGTTAACTTCAAAGCATGTAACAATGTCCCCCAAAACAGTGAGTTCTATGCAACATGAAATGATAAACTACCAACAAAAGCTTTGACTTCATTTTCAGATCCAAGATTGTAAATCAGTGGCTTAAAGTCATTGAGTCCATCTGAAAAGAAGGTTGCTGTCCCCCTGTGACATTTGGTTCTAGTATCCATCACTAGCTTGTATCCAGACATCCATGTACAGAAGACACACAGTGTTCCTGCAGTTCTCTCCATTCCTGAAACCCCCAGCAGTCCCTGAAAGATCATTATCTGGGGTCACAGGACCTTTGTGATAAAATAATCACATGGGTCAAGGGGCTAAAGTGAGGAACACAAGGGGATGAAATTGTCCCTTTCTTTCAATGGAGTTGCACTTGCAGAAGAGAGAGGATGAGTGATTTCTCTCCCTGTTCATCCTCACTCCATCTCCCCTTCCATTTATACAGTTGTCTCTCTGTGTGAATCCTATGAAAGAATGGTTTTTCTGGGAGCTGGAAGTGACTGCAGGGATAGTAAGTAGAGAAAATCCATGTTCTGTGCATGGAAGGTTGGCTACAGTCCATTATTTCTCTGCAACCCCAAACCTTTAGTTTGCTCTGGATAGTGCTGTCCTTAAAACTGTGACCGATTCCTCACAAGGAGCTTGCTCTTCTGTTTCCCCTGCTTGCATTGGTCAATTTCACACTATTCGCTGTGCAGTCACATTTTGACTAGCTGCTCCCCCCAATTTCGCCCATGTCTTCTCGATCCTTGTTTTTTGAGATTGAAAAGACACAGTATAGACTTCCGTTCTGTGGATCAGTGATGGCGGTTGTTCTCCCCAGAACTCGGGGGAGCAACTTGCACACCAGTGGTATGGAGGGGTGCTACCTCAAGTAGCACCCCCACGGAGCCTTTGTGATAGGCTCCAGGCCATAGGGCTTTTGAGGGACAGCCTCTTCGATGGCTAAATGCCAGAGAATTGAGGCTCCCCTCTGCCCTGACGGTCCTGCCGCTGTGTGGCCCTCGGGCACAAGCTGATTTGACTGGGACAAGTGCTGGAGATCGAGCGGAATATTGATTACTGTGAGCGAGGTCAGAGAAATGACCGACAATGAACGTGAGTTCAAAATAAACAGAATATTTTAAAAGTGAACCACCACCACCCCGTGGGAAAAGCGGAGTGCAAAGAGGGACGCCTCTTATGCGAACAGACAGATAAGCGTAACGAAGGGGGCAGGGGGGGAAATAAGCAGTGATTTTGTTTTGAGAGACTTACTTGAGCGCTGACATCAAGGTGACAATTTTTCAAGTCCGTGAGAAGCGGTTTGAAACTGTAAACAATTGTATAAATTGGCGGCCTCGCAAAGGAAGTTTAACGCTGAACCGGCGGGTAGTCAGAGCCCAAAACCGGAAGAGGGAGCAGACGTCATGAAAATGTTAGCGGATATGCTCAAGCCGGTGATGGAGCAACTCGATGGTATTAACCAGCAACTGACTTCGCCGAATCAAAACTTCGCATCCCAGCAGCTCCAACTGGCTGAAATGGCAAAGAAGGTGGAGCAATAGGCTCAACAGCGGATGAAGTAGTAAAAGAGATGGAGACTGCTTATAGGGCATACTCCAACTATATTAAAAAAATAGCCTGCCTGGAGAAATTGTGGTCAGATTCTCATGAAGATTCTCATCTCAGAGATGCTATTTTAAAAGTGACTTCAGCAACTCCACTGAAAATGGGGAATATAAACATTAAAACTTTAAAAGACATTCCATTTGAAATTCGTCAAAAGAGGAAAAGCTACAAGGACTTAATTTCATTTCTTCAAACCAATGGAATTTCATACAGGTGGGCGATCCCAGAGGGTGTCATCTTTAAAATCAACGACAAAAGAGAAAAAATTGACTCCGTTTTTAAAGCCAAAGAATTTTTGAGACGTCAGTTGGGATTGGAGGAAGAATCCAAAGATGAAGAATCGAAATCAAGTGACTCTGCTACCTCTGGAACGGATGAGGACTCTGCTGTAGAAATGGGAGTAGGCGCAATGAAAGTTACATATGATTTCAGAGATAGAAAACCAAAGTAAAGGCAGAAGGACTCTGAAAATTGCCTTTTGAAGCAAATAACAAGAAGATGCTCAGAAAGCTCTCTCACAACAACTAACATACTAACTTTGAAGCCGAGACAAACAAGAACTCTACAAGTACATTGTTGTACTAACACGTTTATTAATAACAGATTAACACGGATATGATCTCCTCCTCTTGGGTTTTTAGTGTAGTGTGGTTATCTATCCTTTATTCTTAGATGTAATCCCCTTTCCTTATATTTCTTTGTAGTTTTGTAGTCTTATAAAAATAATAAAAAATATCCCTCCAGGGATTTTTTAATAAAAAGACACAGTATAGATGGATCACCAACAAATCTTTGATTGTTTGGGATTTGTTAACGTGGCTTCGTATTTCATGTTTAACTTAGCATCCGGTTTAAGCATTTTATAT